TATATATATATATATATATACACACACAGTTGTACCCCACTTAACGCGGTCAATTGAACCCAGAGGGTCCCGCGTTAAGTGAAAACCGCGTTAAGTGAATAACAGAACATATGGGATTAATTCCAATAGAACCCAGACCGACCCCCAAACTCCACTTTTTGACGACAAATAACTATGTTGTAGTAAAAATAACATCTTAATTTAATGATGGTACATGCACACAATTAATACTTAAGAGAAATAGAGAAATACAGTCGCCAAGTTAATGTCCATTCAAATAATGGACTCAACTCCCTCCCCCTCTTCTCACACTACACTCACTGGCTCTTCCCTCTGAGAAATTTTTGGGGGAAAACCAGGTATAGTAATAAATAATTCCTCAAACTAAAGTTAGGATAATATAATTGACATTGCTGGATTCCTTGTAAGACCAGGAATATTTTGAATATAAATGTCATATATTTTTCACAAAAGATATCATATTTACTCAGAATAAACTTTACATCTAAAATTTGTATGTCTAATGCAAAATCTATGATGTTTATATTCAAAATGATCAGCAAATTGTAAGAATTCCAGCAATGTAAATTATATTCTGGCCGGATAATTTGTATGAATTTTATGAGCTAAAACAAATATCTTCAGTTAATATAAAAAAAAAAATATTCTTCGACACTATCTGTCAATCAAAGTACCCCACCTTGCCTTCCCCCCTCTTCCAACCGCGTGGTCAGTCCCAACCCTCCCCCCACCCCCCACCAATCCTCCATTCAAGAGTTTTTAACATTTAGTATTAAATAATACCTCAGATTAAAGTTAGGATAATATAATTGACATTGCTGGATTCCTTGTAAGACCAGGAATATTTTGAATATAAATGTCATATATTTTGGACAAAAGATAACATAATTACTTAGAGAACAATTTTTATCTAAAAATTGTATGTTTAATGCAAAATATATGTTGTTTATATTCAAAATGATCACCAAATTATAAGAATTCCAGCAATGTAAATTATATTCTGACCGGGTAATTTGTATGAATTTTATGAGCTAAAACAAATATCTTCAGTTAATAAAAAAAAAATAATTCTTCACGGGGTAACAGATGGTCGGTCGGTCGGTCCCTCCCTCCCCCCCACCCCCCACCAACCGTCCCAAGGAGATGTGTGGGATAACCACTAAATTTTAATAAATAATACCTCAAACTAAAGTTAGGATAATATAATTGACATTGCTGGATTCCTTGTAAGACCAGGAATATTTTGAATATAAATGTCATATATTTTGGACAAAAGATAACATAATTACCTAGAGAACAATTTTTATCTAAAAATTGTATGTTTAATGCAAATATATGTTGTTTATATTCAAAATGATCACCAAATTATAAGAATTCCAGCAATGTAAATTATATTCTGGCTGGGTAATTTGTATGAATTTTATGAGCTAAAACAGGCAGTCAGGCAGGGTGGCGGGTGGGGGGTGGTGCGAATCTAAAAATAGCTCTCGAGCCGGACACTCACCGCGTATATGATGAAAAATGCCGCGTTAAGTGAAAGTTCAGCTTTGGCAAGGCACCGCGTATATGCGAAAACGCGTTAAGTGAAAGCGCGTTAAGCGGGGTAATACTGTGTATATATATATATATATATATATATATATATATATATATATATATATATATATATATATATATATATATATATATATATATATATATATATATATATATATATATATATATATATATATATATATATATATATATATATATATATATATATATATATATATATATATATATATATATATATATATATATATATATATATATATATATATATATATATATATATATATATATATATATATATATATATATATATATATATATATTACTATGCATATCACCTAAATTTTAGGTTTATTATTATGAAATATATTATGTGACCAATGTTTACAGTGTCTATTTTTTATTCAAGGAATCAGAAAACCAGACTCTGCCAACCAAGTCTGCTAAAGGAAAAAAACTTCATCTCAAAAAGAGCCAAGTTAAAGATGGAAAGCTGCAGCAGAAAGCACAGCAGGCTAGAAGCTTCAGTGTACATGTTAAAAAGTCTGCTTTTCTTGAACACCCTGTGAAATCAATTTTGCCCAAATTTCCTGTAGGAGATTCGCAAACATTACTGTTTGTCCCTGCTCCTTTACCAATACAAAAACCTTCTGTAGTCTCTCCACTTACAGTATCTTCTAAAACAGCAGTTCTTAACCAAGGGGGTATTTCAATTTTTCAGGAGGGGCAAAAAGGCTCGGGGAAAGTAGTCCGCTTATCCCTGAGTCAGAGTCAGAGATATGCTCCCCCAGGAGGGCACAACCCCCAGGTTAAGAACTGCTGTTCTAAAAGTTTTCCTGTGACTGATGATGTCAAAATACCATTGATTCACCCCAAAAGAATTATGGGAAAGAGTAAACACAAAAATGTCATTGCCAAAGAAAACAATAAAAAATTGCCACATCCTGGATTGAGACAAAAATCTGAGGCATCATGTGGCATAAAGGTTACAAGTGAAGCCAAGTCTGGTTCACTAGGCCCCCCAAAAAATAGATTGAAGAAAAATGAGAACAAAATATCCACACTGTTTCCTGAAAATGTATTTAAGAATTTTCATACAGAATTAGAAGTTGAAAGAATTCAAGGAACAAAAAATAAACTTTGTGATAAGTCAAAAGCAGAACCCAATAAAAAAATTTCAATCTTGACTCCACAAGATCAAACATCAGTGCCTTCAAAACATATGTCTCAACATGTAGCTCTTCAATTTTCTCCTGAACAAGGTGTTCCTCATCATCCTCCTCCACCATATCCACAACATTCAAATAGGAAGGAGACTGATATAAGCTCATGCAATACAGAGTTACCAATTGGACAAGAAGTTGAGGAAACTGTAAAAGAGATCCAATGCCTTAAGACAGTTAGTCAGAAATTAGTCCAAATTTCTAAAAAGGGCTGTGAACGAAGATGTAGAAGGCAATTAAGTTTTGTCGAGTGTCCTACTTCCATATCTGTTGGTATAACCTCATCTGAAAATAATGTGACAAATACATCTTGCTCAAGTAATTATGCTAATGAGTTACAAATATCTGTACCAAGTTTATCATCCCCATTAATTCGAAGTGCCACTTCAAGTGTGCATCATTCACATCCTGAGTACAATTCTTCCACATTAATGGTATCAAAATTAGAGGAAACACAAAAAAGTTCTCAGACACATTTAGTGATTGTAACTTCTTCCGGTTCCTCCCCGATTCCACCAACATATTCTACATCATCTAGTATGGCCAAAAATGCCTCAACAGTTTTGAAATCACTTTCAAATTCCAAAGATCCCCCTCTTTATGTAGCACCTCCAGCTCTTCCTGCAATGAATTCACCCACCCTAGAGGAATCTATATTTTCACCTACCTCATCTATAAAATCTCAGAGTTATTCATCTTCTGTATATTCTCCTGTATCATCTGGTCATCCTTTAGCTGGTGCTTCATCTAACCGTCTTTCAAATTCCTCTTCCTCATCGACTGATTTTATGCATTCTCCATTATCTGTTTGTCAGTCACAGTTCTCATCATCTTACTCACCTGTGTTAACTAATGGCCACACAACACAAGCAGAATCATCTGTACTCACCCCACCATTATTGGATACTTCTCTCATTACTTCTAGTAGCCATTCTTCTTATCAAATGTCTAATTCTCATCAGCCAAAGTCAACTCATTATACTGTGTCTACTGAAACACCTCTCTTTACCCAGAGCTCACAATCAACCTCCTCTTGTCAACCTCCACAGCCTACACCTCGTATCTCACCCTCATACTCCACATTTTATAACAGATCTCAACCAGCCCAATGTGATCAATCCCCACTTTCATTACTGCATACTCATGCATCTTGCCCATCCTCTTATATTCATTCTTCACAACTAGACTCATACTCTTACTCCCATCAACCATCCTCTTACGCTCAATCACCTCAACCAACCACATACATAAAATCTCCTCAACCTACTTCATACACTCAGTCTCCTCAGCCATCCTCATACACTCAGTCCCCACAACCAACTTCATACACTCAGTCCCCACAACCAACCACGTATACACAGTCTCCTCAGCCTACTTTACATACACAGTCTCCTCAACCATCTTCATATGCACAGTCCCATCAGCTTACCTCTTATACACAAACTTCCCCTCAACTGACCACATACACCTTGTCCACCCAACAACCACCAACATACACACAGTCATCTCAAAGAACCTGTTATACACAATCCCCTCAACCAGCCTCATATACATACACTCATCATCCTGCATCACATATACAGTCTCCTCAACCAGCTGTGTTTGCTCAGTTTCGGCATCCCGATTCCTACATCCACTCCGAGCATCGCTCAAGTTACAGTCAGTCATCACAGCCTCGTGAGTTTACTGTAGAAACTCAGCAATGTGCGAATGATAATGATCCTGATTCTCCCCAGGCTCTGTCATTTTCCAGTAGTCATGTCTCGCCATACTGTCAGTCCCCACAGCCAGGTTCTTACAGTCAGCCTCCTCACACCACACTAGTCCCAGCCAATGCATCACCCACCAACAGTGTATTCAAAACTATATCTAGGTCACCCCATCTCCCTCAATATTCAGATCCCTGTATTTCACCATCATCCTCACACTATTTCCCCAGCCCGGTCAACATCTCATACAATAATGTTTATGGCTCCCAGCAAACATTTGATACTAATAATTCACAGTATTATGTTACTAATAAAGGGGTCCCATTGTTATCTTCGTCATATTCTACTGGTGAAGTGAATTGCTCTTCTTTATCAAGAGAAAGATTAAGTCCCCCATCATATGAGGCACATTTGCAAAACACTGCATCATACATAACTTCTGGCTCTCACCCTTCAAATTCTCATTACAACATGTCAGTCGTACATCAACAAACAGTGCCTGAAAATTATTCTCTGTCCTGTCATAGCACAAGAGTAGAACAAGAAGTTTCAACACCAACCTCAGATCCTAAGAAAAGTGTCAGGTCCCCTCCTGCATATCCTTCCTCTCCAGTATTACTTCCACCCCCAAGATATACATCTAACCTCCAGGTGACTACTGTTTCCCATCATTCAAATCATGTAGTTGTATCGGATATAAACAAAGGATCTTATGTGTATAGTACAGAGGAATCATTACATTCATTTTTTCCAAACACTCCACCATTGCCACCTCCATCTGCTGCTCCTCCTCCTGTTGAAACTCGAACAGATCTACCTTTCCTCAACTCTCAAGATTATGGTGCAAACCAAAGTCACAGTATAAGTCATAATTCTGCCACGGCATTATTTTCAAGTGGCATTTACCTACCATTTCAAGATGCCCAACACAACTGCGATGACATAAAGGAATTCCAAGGATCACATAATATAACCTGTAAGTCTACTGACCAGGAATCATTATGTAAACATTATGACCAGGAAGCAGATGTTATTGTGTCTGATTGGAGGGGTTCCACCAGAGGAGTTGGGATTCCATGCAGTGAGAGTTTAAAAGTGCATAGTATAATAGAGCGAGCAGAAGGAGTATGGTTTATTCCACACCAAGAACAGAATCGTGTATACATGAAAAGAAAAGAGCTGGCAAAGGATTTCCTTAATCATCCAGGTTAGTATTGCAAAGGGTAAAAAATATGTCAGTTCATGGTAAGATAGCATCCTTTCACTTAATATTGATAATGACGAATACAAAAGTGAATGGTAGTTTACTAGATGTTAAATTGGAATTTTTTATAACTTTGATGAAATTTATGTAATGTAGCATACCTATAACTGAATCATGGTGACTTGAATAAAATAAATTTTTTACTACTTGAAATACCTGTATACTATTTAAATACTGTATATAGTACACTAATGTGTTTTTTGTATTACAGATGTACACTTGAGCAGGGACATGATGTTGAAGGAAAAGTTCTGGATTGAAGAGGATGAACCAATTGCTTTTAATGTAACAGATGGAACAAATTCAAAAAGAAAACAAATCAAGGATATGCTGTGTCAGGTGAGAATAATTTATAATATGCAGAATTTTGTCTTTCATTATTAAGAAAATTACCATATACCTGTGCAGCTCCTCCCCGACTTACGACGGGGTTAGGGACCCAAATCCAGGTCATAAGTCGAAATGGTCGTAAGTCGAAAATGCTTAAATACAGTAATACATAGAAAATCTAAAATGGGTGTCTCTTATTCTTGTCAGCATCACAAAACTCTCACTTTTAAGCTTGCCAGCCATTTTAAAGTGAATTACAAACGAAAATTTTGTCTGTACTGACGTTGGGACTTTAAAATACGTAATTTGACAAAATTTTGGTGCAACTGAGGCAGGTCGTAAGTGCGGGTGGTCGTAAGTCGAGTAGGTCGTAAGTCGGGGAGGAGCTGTATTGTACAGTATACTCAAGTATAGTTCGACTTTTTATGATCAAGTTTTTATGCAAACAGTAGCGAGGTTGAACTATACAGTGGTCCCTCGGTTAACGAACACAATTTGTTCCACAGAGTCTTTCGTTAACCGAAAATTTTGTTAACCAAATCCATTGTTTCAATGGGATATTGGGTAATTGGTTCCAGCTCACAGAAAAGTACATACAAAGTAAAAAAAAAAATGCAGTAAAGTACACTTACTTTGAGGTGTGTATGTAGAAGGTTCCTAGTTGATGATGATGATGATGGGAATTAGAAGTGGGGATGGAAAAGAAGGGAGAAGAGAAGGAAGTGGGGATGGAGGAGAAATCACCTTTCAGGGGACCCATGCTTGAAGCCATCATTTCACCAATAAAATTTTAAGTTCACTAGGTGTAATTCAAGATTATTTTATTTAAATCAACACTGCACTGCGCTATATATTATCAGTATGTTAATTAAATTTCAGAATGACTCTTAATTTCAATGAAAAATGCAAAAATATTCAAGACACCAACAAAATAGATGTTCACTCCACTGTCAACAAAGCCAAACTGACGCCTGGTGGCTGAGTCACGCGGCTGATGGGCGCACAAAAAAATAGTTCCTTGTACTGCATATAGTATCAATATGTTAACTAAATTTTAAAATGACTATTAATTTTAATATAAAAAGTGTAAAAATATTAAAGAGCACAACTTGATATTTACTCCACTGGAAATGAATGTGAACATAGAACAGATTACTGAATTGGCAGACTTGCCCATCAGCTGATCAGCTGATGCTCACAATAAAACGTGTTGTTCGTAAGGATTTCGTTAATCAAAGTTTTGTTCGTTAACCGAATTGAAGATCCTTATGGGAGGTAATTCATTAACCGAAATTTTGTTAACCGAGGGACCACTGTACAGTATATACAGTGACCCCTCGTTTAACGAACACCTCGGTTAACGTAATTTCGATTAACGAACTGCCTTCCATAAGGATCTTCAATTCGGTTAACGAAAAAAAATTCGCTTAACGAACTTCTTACGAACCGACCTCAACATGTTTTCGCTTGCACTGACCGGGCAACCAGCTTTAGTATCAGTCCGCCAATACATTAATCGGTTCTAGGGCTTAAATTCCTTACTATTTTTGTAAATATCAAGAAGTTTATACTATTCAATAATTTTAAAAGTTTAATATTCAATTTTTTAGTCATTTTAACAATTATTGAACGAAATTGAAGGTAAAGTGACTAGTTTAATGCGCGGCATCCAGCCTCTTAACACAGCAAACAGGCGTCAGTCTCTCTCTGTTTTCACTGGAGGTAACATCTTGCTTGAGACTCTCTTCAACTAAATGCTTTTTTCTGTGTTTCCAAGCAAATTATTGGTCATTTTGAAATATATTTTATATATTGACAATATATAATGCAGTGCAGCATTGATTTAAAGAAAATAATCTTGAATTAAACCAGAGAGCTAAAATTTTATGGGTGAAATGGCGCCATGGGGTGACTTCTCTTCCACCCCAATGCCTTCTCTTCTTCCTTCTCCTCCACCCCCATTCTAAATCCCATCATCATCATCATCATCCAGGAGCCTTCTACATACACACCTCAAAGTAAGTGAACTTTTCTACCATTTTTGTTGAATTTAGGAAATTTTCGGTGAGCTGGAACCAATTACCCAAAAACCCATTGAAACAATGGTTTCGGTTAACGAACGTTTCGGTTAACGAACGACCTTCTGGAACGGATTGAGTTCGTTAACCGAGGGGCCACTGTACGTGTAATATTTTTCAAGGGTTAAAATTCATTTATTTTCAAGGGACATTTATGGTGAATGATCGGTTACATGCTTCCAGTAGGTTAACCTTTCTAGTAAGCTCCTTTAACCTGGGCTTGCCTTCAAGATTTTTTATTTTTTTTCCTATGTTGGTACATGAACATGAAGAGCAGAATCTCATTCACTACATGTTACTTTAAATTTACAAATACCTGATGTAAATGAAAATTTGCTGATAATTTACTGCTTCCTCTCTGCTTCCTCATCTACATCTCCTCTAACCTCAGCATCAAATCCCTCAAATTCTTGAGGCAGCTCTTCCACCAGTAAGTCACCCAACACTTCATTATCATTGGTGGTGCCATCATCATCTCCTAAAATGATGTTTGCCAAGACATTAACAGGCTGGACCTTGCACACGTACTGAGTAATAAGGGCCTGCTGACAAGCATTAACACAGGACATGTACAGTCGGGGTCAAAAGTCTTGAACACTTGACATTATTTGGCATGTACCCAAAGATCTTAGGTATTAAGGAGAGTTTTATCCCATTTTGTGGTTCAAACATAATATGTGATGATATGTAGTGTTATTCCCAGTCATATATGTATAACTTAGAAGTAGATGCCAGTTATTGCTAAGTGTTCAAGACTTTTGACCCCGACTGTACATGGTCTTATATTCCTCTATAACCTTATCAGTGACAGGGCAGATATGGTTTTTAGCATGAGGCCTGGACCATATCGTATTCTTCAAGCTATTCACTGAAACGTGCGATGGTTGTGAGCATCTCGGTCAGCTGGCTTGTTGTAGGTTCACCAAGCATATCATCATCCTCTTGTGTTGGTTGCTGTTCTTCTTGTTGGTCTTCATCCTCCTCCAACATTTCTTCAATTGTCGGTTGCTACTGATGTTGACCAATGGTTTCTTGCAAATCTTCAACTTGAACATCCGAAAAACTCGGTGCTGGGACTGACCGCACTGCCTCCACCGTGCCATTAGTGTTGGTGCCATGGACTACCTCTCCCTACTTGCCTCGGTCTGCTCTGCCTCTCTTACCTCGAAGTTACCGAACAAAGGCTTCCATGCGTGTAGCACTATTACAACATTAATCTTTCACCATACCTCAACAATTCTGTCCACTGCATTTTTAATATTATATTTCTTCCAAAATTCACAAACTGATCACACTTCACGGTTGCCTGGGTGGTGCGACATAGGTGCTAGGAGTTGGGTTGTCTACCATCACCTCCTCCTCCTGGTTAGTTGGTGCTGGTTGAGCTTGGTCACTGTCAGAGAGATCTGCCTCGATTTGTTGTAACTCAACTAATGAGTCTGTCTGCTGATGAAAGTCTTTATAGAGTGACTGATAATAGAACAGTTTAACATTACTGATGAATTTGTAGACAAGTGGCTGCAGAAGCGGTGTGGTGATAGGAGGAAGGAAGATAACTTGTACATTATGGTGGTGTCCAATTAGAAACTTAGAGTGTCCAGAAGCATTATCCATCACCAGGATCACTTTGAAGTCAATGCTCTTCCTCTGGCAGTACTTTGGGCGTCAGGAACAAAGTGTTTGCCAAATCAATCGGTGCATAAAGATGTAACCCAAGCTTTCTTATTAGACGTCCAATTAACATTGAGCTGTGACATATTGGCATGATGGTAGGCTCTCGGACCGGCAGCACGGTTAACAACCAGGGGTTTCATCAAGAAATCTCCACTTGCATTAGCTGTGAATAAAATTGTAATCCTGTCCTTTGAAGTCTTTACACCCCTCGCCTGTTTTTCATCGTCGACATTGAAAGTGGTCTTCAGTGAGCGCTTCCAGAAAATGTCAGTTTCATCACAATTGAAGATCTGGTCTCAGCAATAACCACCCTCTTTCACAAGAGCTTGAGAGACAAGTAGATATTTTTCTGCTGCTACGACATCAGCCAATGCACTTTCCCCATGGTAGTGTGTAAACTTGACTTCATAACACTTCTTAAAAGCAGCCAACCAACCAACAGAAGCATTGAACAGTGGTGGAGTTAATGCATTTCTTCAGTGCAACTGCAGCATGATAAACACGTGCTTATTGCCTAATCTGTGGCCCAGACAGATTGCCTTGCTTACGGTTTGTTCTTTCCACCCACTTGTGAAGGTAATGTTCTGTGAAAACAAGCAGTAGGTTTTTTTGTGAAGTAATGGAGAACGTTTCTAGAAAATCTTGAGAATATGTTCACAGAAGCAGTTAAGGCTTCCTTGTTCTTCTTAAGGGAACGTATGATAGATTTGGGGCAGACGAACCTACGCATGATTTCACAGGTACGAGCACCACTTTTGATCATCTCAAGCATCTCTCGTTTCATTAATCTCTGAATGGGGAGGTACAAACTTGGTTAAATTTAATAGTAATAAAACTCACTATTTACCAATTACACTTTCTAAATTAGACGATCTCCCACCAATTACATTTCAGGACTCTATCATCCTGCCAAATTCTGAAATAAATATGTTAGGCCTCTCCATTTCCTTCAATATGTCCTGGAAATCACACATCCTTAATATAGCTAAAGCTGCCTCCCAAAAGTTGGGATTGCTGTACAGATGCCGTAGCTACTTCACTCCTGAGCAGTTGCTCCAAGTACTGAAGTACTGCTCTCATATCTGGGGTGGCTCTTCTTCTGTCCAACTATTAGATAAGGTGGAATCAAAGGCATTTCGTCTTATTAACTCTCCTCCATTAGTTGACAATCTCTCTTCCCTTTCTCTTCGCCGCAATGTTGCTTCACTTATTCTCTTTTACGGGTACTTTAACTGGCAATGTTCGGTGGATTTGGCA